AGTCGGGCTTCACGGTTACTGTGAAACTACCTACTCTGATCTACTCTAGGGGCGATGTGAATCAGATGTAGGTAAGGAAAAATTCCAAAGATCTGTTATAGTGTTCTTTCTATTTGTCTGTATATTTTTAACCCTGACTGTTTAGTCATTTGTTTTTGTGATATCGTTTTGGCATGTCTCAGTATTCATACATCCCGCCATTGTGTTATTGTGCTGTTAATTTTTTGTATTCTTGTCTTTCCTTTTTGCTTAATATGTGGTTTGTTTATAGTGTATATATGCTATTTTGTTTTTCTTTGTTGACCTAGTTGTTTATTTTTATAGTTATTAAGATTATAACACAATGTTGACTGATGTACCCCAATTTTTGACATTTTTGACCTATTATGTCTGTTTGTTTTCTAACACATTGTTGTCAATATAATGGAATTATATGCGACTGTCATACTAGTGAGAGGTTCAGCTAGCTATAAAACCAGGTTTAATCCACCATTTTCTACATAAGGAAATGCCTGTACCAAGTCAGGAATATGATAGTTGTTTTTCATTCGATTGAGCTTTTGATTTTGCCATTTGATAAGGATCTTTCCGTTTAGAATTTTCCTTGGAGTTCGGTATTTTTGTTATTTTACTTTTTACATACAATCGAGGTCTTTTTCCTCTTGCAAATGTATAAAAGCATTTTATTTTTTCTACACTTTACACTAGTATTCCTCGTTCAAAACTTAAAAGATTGAAAGATTGTTGTTTCATTATAAAGAATGGCCAACGTAGATACAAATATATTGTACAAGAAAGGGATAAATCATACTTTGGAAGAGAGAAAAAACTCGGATTTACACAAAAACGTTCTCTGAAACTGGCATTTTTTTTTGTTTTTGTTTTTTTTATTGACAACTTATTTTTTTTGCGTTTGGAGAATGTTTTTCAACAATCAGACATTCCTATTGAACCAACTGTTCTTCTCTTGTCGATGTGTTCCTTTATTCATATGAGTCAGAATTCATACAGAAGCTTCTCAGGAAGAACGAGAAGCTAACATTATCCTTCAACTTTACGTTCAGAGTTTGGGGATTATGTTGAACGCATCTATCCCCTCAAACTTGAAATAAAGGATACAACAGATGACAGATATATTCAAGTCTGCCTCATATCTGTGAATTACATTTAAAAACTGACAATGAGTCTCGTATGAGAACAAAACTCTACAAAAAAAGGGATGAAACAACTTCCCAATTGTGAACTTTCCATTTCTATGTAGCATCATTCTAGCAGCACTTGATACGGAGTAAATCTAATAGTTGGTAAGATATTCTAGATGCTGCGTTTCGTCGATAGAGGGTTGCTGCTTTCAAGAAAGCTATTGAAACAGATCTTGATATCTTTCACTACTATTTTCTCCTATAAGGAGTCGAATGACAATATCAAATATGTTGATTTATTTGTATATCTTGAATTTCTAAGGATGAAGTTATGTCAGGTTTAGGAACGTTTGTCAGATGTTCGGACTCCTTGTGTTTTTTTCCTATGATACAGGATAAAATATTTTGCCCCATAGCACGCATGTTTCCTTTCATATAGGACTTCAATAGCTCATAAAAGGTCATTTACAGAAAATTTAAGCAGATTCTAGATTTCTTTTCTTCCGATTCGGGACTGAAATAATGCCAATTCAAATATAAGGTAAGTTTGAGTCAGCCTTTTCCCGCCATTTAAAAAAATATATATATCTCGAAAAGGAGTTCCATAACCAATATTGTTTGCCTATTTTGTTCCTTAACTAATGCTCTTCTGGCTCGTAGTATCAATTTTAAATTCCAGATTATTAAAATTTCACCTGACTTCATTCTAATTACTTGTTTGCCAAATATGAGAAATTGGTAAAATCATCATTATAGGGCAATCACTCGTTCAATGTGTCAAGTGATACTTTCGGCTGTTTGACTTATTTCTAGATCTTGTCTTTCTTGCAATTTTTTATTGTTGCTGTGATAATTTAGGGGAAAACGTCCTGTGGAGACTCGATTGAAAATCTTGATATGCTGTTTGCTGTTTAAATTTACCCTCCAGCTATCATTTTTGTTAAGCCAAAGGGCAATAAAATCCAAACAAATTTGTAAAAATCGTTATAAGAAGCAATAAATCCTCTGAGTAGCCGACTGACGATATCGGTCTTTCGACTTATTTATAGATCTCGTCTTGCTGTTGAAAGTTTCCCTCTATCTTGTGCAGTTTTTTAAATATCCTATCGTCGTTCCGGGACAAACTTTTTTGATTATTTCGTTTATAAGTTTTGATAATTGAACTTGCAATTTAAAGTTTCTCTATCTATTGTAATTTCCAAAATGATTTGCAATAACCAACTAAAATAAATTGAGAATGTGTCTATGGGCCCAAGATGCCCCGCTTATAAATATGCATTAGTCAATGTACTAATTATTGACATTTTCTTTTATTTTAAAGTTAATGACATATATTTCTACATGTTTTCATTAGAAATTGCTTGCAGGTTTGAGTGCTCTCATTGTTCAATAACATTTGGTGAGGCAAACTAAGTTAGAGAACGGAAACCAATTTTGGGGACGGACAAGTGTAATACTTATTGCCCCTCCGCTACGGCGGGGGCATAACAATAGTAAGGATCGTCATTAAAAGGGCAATAACTTCTAATAATCCGCAGACAGTTTTGTTCAAAATAGGCATAATGTAGATCTTGACAAATCGGAAAATTTTGCGTCTGAAATTCTCTACCTATACCGCTTTTCACAATAGAAAATACTTATATTTTACCACTATGTTCTTATCTAAGCCTTGGTGGCAATGTTGGTTGGACGGCGGATCATCGGACACATTTTTAAAACAAAATACACCAATGATTGAGGAGAAGTTTGGTTCAGTTTGGTTTCAGAGAAGATTTGTTTATAAGTTAACAGACGACGACGACAGAAGACATGAAAAACAGGTGCGGATCTCTAATTTTGAAAAATTGGGGCCCAGCAAGACGTTAGGATTGGGATTGTAAAAAGTCTATGCCTTAACCATACATATAGATACATAAGCCACCCCCCCCCCCCCCCCCCACTTTTTGGATTGGAAAATGTCTGTTGACCCAAGAAAATTTTGTATGTGCCTGTTCCAACTGTATGCTTTGTTTGCTGTCAATCATATTTGGTTTTTGATTTTCGTTTAATTGAAAAATGTTTCCGTGTGTTTTCTAGTAAGAATTGCTTTACATTTTGTTATGTGAAGCCCTCTTCTAGCTTACTATACGGTGTGAGTTTTGTCCATTGTTGAAGACCGTATAGTGATTTATACATGCAGTTAGGATTCTCTGGTGGATAGTTGTTTCGTTGGGAATGAAACCACATCTTCTTATTTATACATGTTTGGACAATGTATAGTAAGGCTTCTTTCTTTCTCTCAAGAATTTTGAATACATTTGAAATTAATGACTTAAAGAGATTGGACATCTAACTTCAAGAAATGTTCTTTTTTTAAACAAATTTGGTATAAGCCTCAACATTAGACCTGTCGTATGATTTTTTTTTTTCTCTATTGAACAATATTTATTTACAGTAACCCATGTGTCTCTTATGGTCATGTTGTTGTGTAACAAGAACAATAAGGCTTCAAATATTCTAATAACCTGACCATGCATAATTACTACATTCATTATGACCTGTTTTAAATAGAATGTTACATATTGAAAAGTAAAGATGAAAACTAACTGACTGCCATATAAAATATCATAGAACAGTTATCCTTTTCAGTGTTTCTTACATTTAAGTTTTGTCATTAATGTCTAGTGCTTATAGTATTTGAGAAACGGACCTAATCACGTAATTTTAACCTTGATCACTGATCCATGAAATGAGGTCGATGGACATGTAGATGTTGCAAGGAACCCATATACCAAATATTGTTGTCATAATAAGTGAGATATTCACATTAAAAAAACTCATTCTTTTTTTCAAGTAGTCGCTGAACCATAAAAACGAAGTCGAGGAAAATGAAAATATGGTAGACAGAAACTTCCTAACAAAAGGTATCTGCATACATGTACAAGATATAGTGTATCCAGGTCTTCTACCTTCTGAAATATAAAGCTTTATACAAATAGTTTACACCAACACCGCCGATGGATAGTAATCCTTATGTCCCGCAAACTTTGACTTTCTTCGCAGGCGATACAAAAATAGGGGGTGTACACAATTTGATGAATCTATTTTGGTCTCTCCAGAATAATTTGAGTTCATTCTCATGGAAAAATATGATTTTTTCACATGTTGCAGTCACTAACTTGAGTATGCCACAATTGATTTACATCAACCTTCATTACCAAATCAATAGAAATGGCGATATGACATTTATGTGTGAGGGTCTATATACCTTTTGGCAATTTTCACTTTTATCATACCAAACTTTATAATTCTTTTAATAAAAAAATTGCGGTCTGCAAGTGTCCTAGAGTTTGTTTACATTTTGATGATTTTCACTTTTATTGGATTATTTTAATTTCTAAAGTAAACAATTTATTACACATCGAAAATCAAGTTTGCCTAAATGAGTTATGCACTTAATTTAAACTCCACCAAACTATGAGGAATGGTAGTCTTAGGGTCTGAATACGTTTTATCTATATGTTCAGTTTATTTGTAATTTCGGAGTTTTGGAATTTAAATGGTCGAAATCTAAGCAATTTATCATGCATGTATGCCCCAAATTAACTAAAGTACGCTTTCCTCATCTTTTTTATTCAGAGTAGTTAGTGGTTGGTGTGGTAATTTTAACTGACAATATTGTTATGGTTTTTCTGTTTTTGTTTTTATGTAATTGTTTTAATGTATCTTCTTTTACTCCATAGAATCATCAAGCATCTGAAAAGAAATTTAGTATACTTCAAATTAGACAGAAAATCGACTATAAGGAAGTTGTTTAGAAACCTAAACATATCCCCTTTCTTCAACAATACATCTAACAAATTCCAATTATATAGTATATTTTTATAATTTTAATTCTAATCTCTTTGAACTCCAAAAATACAGATAACGAAAAACATTTTAAAAATTAAATTCAATCATTAAGTTTTGGAAATGCTATTTATGTATAGTTTAAATCTCTGTCAATTAAGTCATCATATGATTGAACACTTTCATCTGACTTCGCTGTAAAACTACCTCTAGATTGCAAAGAAGAGAAATCTGATTTACTAGTAGTTGATTTGTGAGTTATAGATAGTAAAGAATGTACCGAAACATTGTCATCTGAAGTATAGGATTTCATTCCTATATCATCATTAATTGATGCAGCTTTTTGTGGATATCCTGAAAAATCCTGTATAGACCTAATTTTTTCCATTGAAGATGGTACACTGCCTTGAGCTAAAGAAGATTTTGGTGGAGATCCATAAACATCCTGCATTGATCTTATTTTTTCTGTTGAAGATGGTACACTGCCTTGGGCTGAAGAAGATTTTGGTGGAGATTCATAAACATTCTGCATTGATCTTATTTTTTCCATTGAAGATGGTACACTGCCTTGAGCTAAAGAAGATTTTGGTGGAGATCCATAAACATCCTGTATAGACCTAATTTTTTCCTTTGAAGATGGTACACTGCCTTGAGCTGAAGAAAATTGTGGTGGAGATCCATAAACATTCTGCATTGATCTTATTTTTTCTGTTGAAGATGGAACACTGCCTTGGGCTGAAGAAGATTTTGGTGGAGATTCATAAACATTCTGCATTGATCTTATTTTTTCCATTGAAGATGGTACACTGCCTTGAGCTGAAGAAGATTTTTGTGGAGATCCATAAACATCCTGCATTGATCTTATTTTATCTGTTGAAGATGGTACACTGCCTTGGGCTGAAGAAGATTTTGGTGGAGACCCATAAACATTCTGCATTGATCTTATTTTTTCCATTGAAGATGGTACACTCCCTTGGGCTGAAGAAGATTTTGGTGGAGATCCATAAACATTCTGCATTGATCTTATTTTTTCTGTTGAAGATGGTTCGTGGCGTTGATAAGATTCAGCTTCTTGTTGAGATCCATAAACATCCTGTATAGATCGTATTTTGTCTGGTGAAGATGGTGCTTGTCGTGGAGCTGATGTTGCTTTTTGTGGGGATCCATAAATATCCTGTATAGACCTATTTGATTCCACTGAAGATGGTACACGGCTTGGATAAGATGCAGCTATTTTTGGAGATCCATAAACATCCTGTATAGACCTAATTGTTTCGGTTGAAGATGGTGCTTGGCGTGGAGCTGATGCTGCTTTTTGTGGAGATCCATAGACTTCCTGTATAGACCTAATTGTTTCTGTTGAAGATGGTGCATGGCGTGGAGCTGATGATTCTATTTGTGGAGATCCTAAAATGTCCTGTAAAGACTTTATATTTTCTTGGGAAGATGGTACACGACTTGGATAAGATGAAGCTTTTTGCAGAGATCCATAAACATCCTGAATAGACCTAATTGTTTCTGTTGAAGATGGTGCATGTTGTGGAGCTGATGCTGCTTTTTGTAGAGATCCTGAAACTTCCTGTACAGACCTTATAATGTTATAGTGCGGGGCTGATGCAGCTTTTTGTGGAGAACCATAAATATTCTGAAGAGACCTTATATTGTCCAGTGAAGATGGTACATTGAGTGGGGCTGATGCAGCTATTTGTGGAGATCCATAAACATCCTGTATAGACCTTATATTATCCGGTGAAGATAGTACATTGTGTGGGGCTGATGCAGCTATTTGTCCAGATACATTAACATCCTGTGTGGACCTAATTCTTTCATGGGAAGATGTTACATGGCGTTTTGAGGATGCAGCTTTTTGTGGGGATACATGAACATCCTGTACAGATCTTATTTTTTCCTGGGAAGATGGTATATAGCGTCGGGCTGATGCAGCTTTTTGTGGAGATACATAAACATCCTGTGTAGACCTTATTTTTTCATGTGAAGACGGTAAATGGTGTGGAGCTGATGCAGCATTTTGTTGAGATTCTGAATCATCTTGCATAGACCTTAATTTGTCTTGTGAAGACATTTCCTGATTAGAAAATGAGAGCATCCTTGATTGTGACCCAACACTTACATCATCTGGAAGAGACTCTGACCTTTCTGAAGAAATTTCTACTGTTGGAGACAATAACTTTCTTGGTGGAGATCTCAGAACTTTTGGCAGAGGCGAAGTATCAGAGGTCAATGATGCACGACGTTGAGGTGGCAAAATCCTTGGTGGCGATCTATGTAACATAGTTCTTTGACCAGATAATGGCCCTTCATATGGAATTGGTTTGCTGTTAAAGTCTTTTTTCAAAGGTGATGTTTCATTTCTACAATAAATAAGAGTACACTTCGTTACGGAAACATGATAAAGATCTTGGAAATTAAACTAACTATAGTCTTTTTTCCCACAATTCGTATCTATCAATTGATTAATTGATTGGATGGTGTTTAACGCCACTTTCACCTCTATTGTGCTCTTTCGTGACAGTCAGTTTTTCTTGGTGTAGCAAGCCAGACTGACCGGAGAGAACCGCAATCTTTGGAAGGAAAACTGACAATCCTAGTCAATTAAGATTGGAGCCCATCTTCCATGACCCTACGTGCAGGATTGGAACTCACAAAATCAGTATTGATAGGCCAGTGATACAGTACTTTGACTACTTAGACCACCGACGCCCCTAATTCATACTGAAACAATTTGCTAAAATCATTCTTTAATTTCTTTTTTTAATTGTATTTGAGCATATAGTATTCAACAATTATCTATAAATTTACCAAATCTGTTCACAGCTAACTGAACTAAAGGTGTATATTCAATAAGCCCACATTTCATATGGCCCTTATTTCTACTAAGTTTAATTTTCAAATAAGAATTTAATAGCCATTATAACAATACATCACAGCTTTAACAATGACAAGATAGGAAATAGGTATTTTTATTGAAAATTCATGCATCAGCGTTCTTTATCATAATTTTCAACCAAATTCAAGGAAAACATATATGCCGCCATGATGTACATTTCAATAGGATTTTGGGACAAGAAATGTATAGTGCACGCATTGACAACAACAAAAATTTGAACATTATGTTTGTAAAGTATCCGATTAGGCCTAATTGTAGTTGAAATCTAGAAAATTTTCACAAAAAAACTCATTTTTCAACCAAATTGTGGTGTAACTGGCAAAAGCCTTGTAAGAAATAACCAGACAAAATTCATTTCTTTTCATTTTCTCAGACAAATATGCATCATTGATCAACTTGAATCATTTTACATGATGGACTACTAGTAATTATTTAGGGCCAAAAAATGTCTTTAAAGTTCAGTGTTTCTGCTGTTCCTTTGTTTTTCTCTTATAGTTGATGTGTTTCCTTCGGTTTTGGTTTGTGATCCCGATTTGTTTTTGCTTAATCGATTTATGACTATTGAACAGCAGTATACTACTGTTGCCTTTATCTAATACCTTATTAACCATTTTCTTTAAAAAAAATCATAATATCATCCGCAATACACATGTTTTAAGAATAACCTTCATCAGGTCTGAGCATGAACAAAAGTTGTGAAAGCCAAAAAAATATGTATATAATTATATATATTTAAAAAACAAATACTTAATGAAATAAAATGCTCCGCTGGGCGCAGCTTGATACGACCGCAGAGGTCGAACCCTGAACAGTTGGGGCAAGTATGGACACAACATTCAAGCTTGATAAAGCACTGAATTTGGATTGTGATTAAATATTTGACCCAGCATAGGTTTCTGACACAGAATGAATGTGGTCTAAGAACTTAAAAATTTTTAATCTACCTTTTCAAACCATATCATTATTATTTGCTTTCATATATAAATCAGAAATAACCAATTTAAAATGGAAAATTTTAAAGAAAAAAAAGGAAAAAAAGGAAAAAAAAATCCCTCCCCCAAATTTTTGAACCCCCTTATGATTCATCACCCCCAAACTCAATCCCAGCCTTCCCTTTGTGGTATGGTACCTTGCAGTACAATTTCACAGAGATCCATACACTTGAATACAAGTTATTGTCTGGAAACTAGAAAAATGCTTGTTTTTAGGCCCCTTTTTGGCCCCAAATTCCTAAACATTTATGGCAATTACCCCCAAACTCAAACCCAGCTTTCCCTTTGTGATATGGAACCTTGTAGTACAATTTCATAAAGATCCATACACTAACACACAAGTTATTGTCCTGAAACTAGAAAAATGCTTATTTTTGCCCGATTTTTGGCCCCTAATTCCTAAAATTTTGAGGCAATTACCCCAAAAATCAATCCCAGCCCTTCCTTTGTGGTTTGGTACCTTGCAGTACAATTTCAGAGAGATCCATACACTTGAACACAAGTTATTGTCTGGAAACTAGAAAAATGCTTATTTTTGGCCCCTTATTCCTAAACGTTTTAGGCAATTACCCCCAAACTCAATTCCAGCTTTCCCTTCGTGATATGGAACCGTGTAGTACAATTTCATAAAGATCCATACACTTACACACAAGTAATGGTCATGAAACTAGAAAAATGCTTGTTTTTTTTATTTTTTGGCCCCTAAATCCTAAAATTTTGAGGCAATTACCCCCAAAATCAATCCCAGCCTTTCCTTTGTGGTTTGGTACCTTGCAGTACAATTTCAGAGAGATCCATACACTTGAACACAAGTTATTGTCTGGAAACTAGAAAACTAGAAAAATGCTTATTTTTGGCCCCTTATTCCTAAACGTTTTAGGCAATTACCCCCAAACTCAATTCCAGCTTTCCCTTTGTGATATGGAACCTTGTAGTACAATTTCAGAAAGATCCATACAGTTACACACAAGTTATTGTCATGAAACTAGAAAAATGCTTGTTTTTGCCCCTTTTTTGGCCCCTAATTCCTAAAATTTTGAGGCAATTACCCCCAAAATCAATCCCAGCATTCCCTTTGTGATATGAAAACTTGTGGTACAATGTCAGAGAGATCCATTCACTTAAACTAAAGTTAGAATGCGAAAACCAATGTGTCTTCAGACGACGAAGACAACGAAGCCAGACGACGACAACGCCAACGTCATACCAATATACAAGCGCAAAATTTTTTTGCGGTCAAATAAAAATCTGAAGTGCAAATAAGAATTATAGATATTTAAAAAAACAACATTTATAAACAAACAAAAACCAACATAAGTAATGTGGACTGAGAGTTGAACCGTAAGGTTTAACAACTCTTGTAGATTTGAACCTCTGTAAGTAGTTACTTTGTTCACAAATATCAAGAAAAAAATGTCTAAAGCAAGGTCTTGAATATTGCATCAAACTGTGGCAGTGCACTTTATAAGACACTGTTTCTTCAAAAACGGAGCTATTGAAAGTGAACAGAAAATCGGACAGGTGATGTAAGATTGATGTCAACCTGCCTGTTAAAGTCAAGGAACAGAGTTAATCTTAAAGTGTCTGTTACTGACATATCCTTAACTAAATGTCATTAGATAGACATGATCAAAAAGGTTCCTTTATTTTTAAAAGAAAGGCCTTCATCTATTCAGTCAAAAATAAAATTGTACTAGTTTTCATTTTACCTTATGCAAGACTTTTAATGCTTTAATCATGAAGCAAAAAACAAGTGAAAAGGAAGACTAATCTGTTTTCTAAGAATGCCAAAAGCATATTTCATGAAAATTTGTCACTATCTTAAATATACTATATATATCTTTGTAAAAATTTACTCTCTTTACATAAATCTGAAAAAATAGCTTAAAAAGGTTTACTTCTTTTTTTATTACGATATTTATTGCTGGCTTTACTGATTATCATAGGGATGTTAAGGAAGATCATAAGTATATACTTTTTGAGATAGAATTTTCTTATACTTTGCCAAAAGGAAGATTTTACTATATTTTTGAATAATAAAAAATAATAAAAGTATGGGTCACTGTGCTATTTTCCAAGCTATGAGTTGTTGAAAATTGCCTAAATTTGGTTAGATTGTTCATGAAAAAACACATTTGTGTGCATAAAAAAAATTCTATGAGATAGAATTTTGAAATAAATTGTAAGAAGATAGGTTTTATAATATGTTTTAAAAAAAAAAAAGAAAAAATGGTGTCACCGAACTTGTTTTCTTGCTACAAGTAAAAATAAAAAATTTCCCTATCAGTCCAGTATATATTTTATACTAAAAGAGTTACCTCCCCTTAAATGGCTTATTTGAAAAAAATTATTCTAAAAACTCAAAATTTGATATTTGTTTAAATATTTTGAATAATACAATAAATCACCAAATTTTCTTTATATAAATAAACAATCTAACCATTAAATTGCAAATCTGTCTCCAAATTTGCAGATATGGACAAATAACTAGACCAATTTTGTACTGAGATTGTACAATCCAAAATGACGGTATACCATGAATCTACCTTAAAAATACTGAATTTATCTGTAAACTTGGACTTCTATTTTTTTGTGGTCCTCTGAAATGGCAACATCTTTCCACACCAGTATCCCTATATTAATTTGTTCTGTAAGGATGTATGTTGCAGTATTGGTAATAATATTGTTATGTTTTGTTACCTGTACATATGCTAGCTATAGTATTCTTAAATGAAGTTTACATTACAAGTTATGCGTCATCAAGGGAGAGAAAATTTTAATATCCACAAACTGAAAGTACCGAGATAACAAGAAAGCAAAATATATATTTTCTATCGGAAGGTATAATCTCAGCTTTTTTCATTTCTTTAAATCAATAAATATATCAATTCTATTAAATTATACACATAGTACAAACCTTGAATCTTTAGAAACAAGCGTCCAGGTGGAAGGTGGTGGCGGGAAACTTTCATATGAAGAACTGCAATAAACCAAATTTATTTTAGGAATTGCATTTTCAGTTGTTTCTTATTTCAAAATCCTTGGTAACTCCTGTACGAAATATTCTGCCTAGAACAAGCACAGAATCTAGTAGGAATTCTAACATAATTCCTACTAAATAACATAATTCCTACTATAAATAAAACTAAAATCAAGTAGGATTCCTTCTAGGAAAGTGTTCATATTCTTGTCAAAATGTAGTAGGAATCCGCCTGGAAAATGGAAAGCTGAAAAATTTATCTTAGCAGGAATTTTTAGTAGGAACATTGGGATTTCTACCTGGAATATTCAAATTAGCATGAATAAATTGGGAGGAAAATAAGATTCTGACCAGAAAACCTGGTAGGATTTTTCATAATTCCTACAAGAAAAATTTATTTTCTAGCAGGAATCTAACTAGAGGCTCTTTAGAGCCTATGTCGCTCACCTTGGTCTATGTGCATATTCAACAAAGGACACTCTCAAACATTGTAGCTAAGAATAGAATTCTTGTTTTGTTGATCTTGGATTAAGTCTATTTAGTTTCTCTCTATCTTCTTTAGTTTTTGCTCAAAACACAAAAGAGAATAAAAAAATCCTCATTTATGGGCAATCACTCCTATAAAGAGTGACTGATTATAACTTTGACTATATCGGCAAAATTTGACTTGTTAGTAGATCTTGCCTTGCTGATCATTTTTGTGATTTAAAGTGTCTATTTATCTATTATATTTTTTATCATATAAGGCAAAAACGCAAAAAAATGGTAACAATCGTCATTAAAGGGCAATAACTCCAATAAGGGTCGTCTGACAATTCCTAGTTATTGTCTAAATTATAGATCTTGTCTTGCTGATCATTTTTGCTTATTTAAATTTCTGTCTATCTACTATAATTTTTAAGGTATAGAGCAAAATGCAAAAAATTGGTAAAAATTGTCATCAAAAGGCAATAACTCTAATAAGTAGTCGACTGACAATTTTGACCATGAGACTTATTTGTAGATCTTGTTTTGCTGATCATTTTTGCAATTTAAAAGTTTCTCCCTTTATATTATAGGTTTCAAGTTAATAGGCAAAAGTGAAAAAAATGGTAAAATTTGTCATTTAAGGGTTATAACTCCTATAAGAAGTCATCTGACAGTTTTGACGCATATCAACAATTGTTTGAGCTCAACATTCTGAACATTTTTGACGACGGACGCCAAGTGATGAGAAAAGCTCACTTGGCCCTCTGGGTCAATTAAGTTTGAATCTCACAACAAAGAACAAAGGAAATACATTTAACGATTAACTTCTTGATATAAATATTTACTATTGAATTTGATGAAGAAGCTGCAACAAAACTACTTGTTATAAATGTAGATCTGAACTTCTTCAAACAAAATATAATTGATATTAAATTGATTAATAAATATATATCAGGCTAGTCAGAATAAAAAGTTAAAATACAAAATGTATGCAAACTACATGACTTTTTTGTACCTTCAATCTACATGAACTAGTGATTTTTGCTTACATTTCAATATTTCCCTGTTTATCATATATCAACTATGCAGCATTGTGTTCCCAACAATCTTTTGCCTTCCAAATTTTGAATTTGAGACCTGAAACTTGGTTGCTATATTACAGTAAAATTAATGTTAATAGCAAACCGGAATCCAGTTTAAGATAATTAAATACAAATCAGTTCAGATAATAATCCTGCTACAATTAGAAAGATTCCTGGTTGAAAAATTTTCTAGTAGAAATAAAGTAATACTGTTCAACCTAATAGCAGAATTTGTAGCAGGAAAATGAAAATTCCAACTGTAAAAACTTGAAATTTTCCTAGTATGCCTAAAAAGTAGCAGGAATCTTAGATTCCATGATCATTCTAGCAGATACCTATTATAATCTAGTAGGAATCCTACTACTTATTTCGTACAGGTGAATCATGTCTGTCTTTATAAAAATAAGAAGTGGTATGATGACCAATGAGAACACTATCCACCAAAGCTCAAATGAAGTGGATGTGAGTAGTTGTTGGCAACCATACTGCCTTCAACATTGAGGAAACTCATACTGTATAGTCTACTATAAATGGCCTAGATATGAAACAATTCATTGAGAAAACTAATGGCTTAATTCATAACAAAACAATTCACAAAAAACAAATATGACAGATAAGAACCAACGACAACGACAACCACTGAACTGAACTGAACTTTTGATTGATTCATTGACTGATTGGTGTTTAAGGCCACTTTCAGCACTATTGTGCTATTTAGTGGCAGTCAGTTTTTGTTGGTGGAGGAAGCCAGAATGCCCAGAGAGAACCACTGACCTTCGGCAGGAAAACTGACAATCTTAGACAATAAGGATTGGAGTCGAGCACACTAATCTGGGACTCTAAGGAATATAAAGACAAAATTTCATTTATTTCATATACCGGTAACTATCATGTAAGTTGTCAAGATAAAAGTCAAATAAGCATACATGGGCAATAACTCCTATGAGGATATCAATTTATATTTGTTCTTATGGAAGGACCTATGAATTTATACCGTTATATAAAACAAGCACAAATTCAGGATGGCCCTGCCTATAAATGCTCAGTTGGATATCTACATTTGTATGTAACTGAAAAGTATGATATGCATGCCTTTAGTACTTCAAGGTCATAATTTAAACCAAAACTAACAGGATATTATAGCTCATATTAGGCCCATGAAAATAGAGTTTTTGAGAACTACCATAAATTTTGCTCATGATAAAGGGAATCCCTAAATCATGAAATATAAATGCACAGAATAAAGAAATATGAATGCATAAAATCAACAAATATAACTGAATTAGATATTTATTTACAAAGTAGTAAAGTCCTAATATGTGCATTTTTAATGAAAATGAAAAAAAATGCTGTTTCTTTTTACAGTTTTTCATACATATTTCCTTTTTGAATACATTTGACACATTCAAATAAATAAAATAATTTCAGTGCAGTCATCTTTCATCTTCATATTTTATTTTCATATCATCTTTTATCATGTATGGTAAATATTAAATTTAAACTTATTTTTGGGTCTACAAAGTATTCTAATTTGAAAAAAAAACTTACCGTCTATCCATATGGAGACTTTTTTGTGGAGAACGGGACACAGCATATGAATGTTTGCTGATATACTGAACATCCTCAGCTGATTCTCTTCTTTGTGATTCTAAGTGAGTCCATCTATGAGTAGGATCAGAAAGATGTCCTTTGGCAACATCCATTGAATTTCTTGAATTATATTGGATGTCTGGTGTTTTTTCTCCTTCATGACTTGTTTGTAAATTTGTAACAGCTGCCTTCTGCATAGGATCTGACAAACGTCTTGCCGCCATTTGTGATGATTTCCTTGTATGCAGATTATCTTTAAACCCCTGATGTATGAATGAAGTTTGTGTACCATGTAATATATGTCCTCCGGTCATCTGCATTGTATTACTAGCATGCTTACCATCTCTTGATTGTTGACTACTGATATAAGGTGCTGTGTCCAACATATTTTGGCGCTGAGGTGAAGTTGATGAATGCTGAGATGTCATCTGCTTTGGTTTGCTAACAAGTGACCCAGTTTTTGATTGATAACTGGGAGGAAGAGGTACTGAACTATTCAAGTCTTGTGTTGAATATTGGTCAACCATCTGGGTAGTCATACTTGCATTCTGAATATTTTGTACTTTTTGACTTCTGACCTTCTGAACTGTGTCTGACATTACTTGACCTTGGGATGAAATTGATGAACGCCGTTTCACCATCTGCGATGTTTTACTAGCAGGATGTTCAGATGGGTATAAAAGATCTTGGCCTTGATTTGGATATGATGGATGTTGTCTTAACATATTAGATGTTTGACTAGAATATTGAACATCTGATATCTGTCTCCTACCCATACGAGTCGTTGAAAGACCCTCACTTTCACTTGGATGTGACTTGAAACTTTCTGTCATCTGTAATGTTCTACTAGCACCTGCTTTGTGATGAGTCACTGATTGAGATGAAAGCCTTGCCCCCATCTGCAATCTAGCATACTGATTCTCTATTGATTGCTGTCTACTTAGATGAGGTGCTAACATATCCTGACTTTCAGTTTGGGGAGGTGGAAGTCTTTCCACACTCTGCCTCGCATCTTTAACATACTGTTCATTTACTAATTGCCGACTACCAGGTGGTAATGTGAAGTTGGACGGACCTTTCAATGATATCTTTGGTATTTTTCGAGAATGCTGATCACCTTCAAATTGTCGAGATGAATGTTTTGTTTCCATCTGCAATCTAGAATTACGATTCTCTATTGATTGCTGACTACTTGGATGAGGTGCTAACATATCCTGACTTTCAGTTTGGTAAGGTGGATATCTTTCCGCACTCTGCCTTGCGTTAACAGCAAACTGATCATTAACTGATTGTTGACTCCTAGGAGATGATGTGAAATCTGAAAGACCTTTCGATGAAATATGTGATATTTTTCTAGCATGCATATCACCTCCTGAGTGTTGAGATGGATGTTGTCCTTCGATCTGCAATCTAGAATTACGATTCTCTATTGACTGCTGTCTACTGAGATGAGGTGCTAACATATCCTGACTTTCAGTTTGGGGAGGTGGAAGTCTTTCCACACTCTGCCTCGCATCTTTAACATACTGTTCATTTACTGATTGCCTACTACCAGGTGGTAATGTGAAGTTGGACTGACCTTTCAATGATATCTGTGGTATTTTTCGAGAATGCTGATCACCTTCAAATTGTCGAGATGAATGTTTTGTTTCCATCTGCAATCTAGAATTACGATTCTCTATTGATTGCTGACTACTTAGATGAGGTGCTAACATATCCTGACTTTCAGTTTGGTAAGATGGACGTCTTTCTGCACTCTGCCTTGCGTTAACAGCAAACTGATCATTAACTGATTGTTGACTCCTAGGAGATGATGTGAAATCTGAAAGACCTTTTGATGAAATTTGTGATATTTTTCTTGCATGCATATCACCTCCCAATTGTTGTGATGAATGTTTTGCCGCCATCTGCAATCTAGCATAATGATCCTCTATTGACTGCTGACTACTTAGATGAGGTGCTGACATATCCTGATTTTCAGTTGGGGGAGGTGGAAATCTTTGAGCACTCAGTCTTGCATTACTAGCATTCTGATCATTTATTGATTGTCGACTTCTGTGATAAATTATGAAGTCTGAAATCTGTGATTTATTTCTAACTTGCTCATCACCTCCTAATTGTTGAGATGAAAGTTTTGCTGCCATCTGCATTCTAGCTTTATGATTATTTATTGACTGCTGACTTCTTAGATGAGGTGGTAATATATCCTGTCTTTGATGTTGGCGAGGTGGGGGAGGTGGAGGTGGTGGAGGTGGGTATGGTGGAAGGCTTCCCTCACTCTGCCATGCATTAAAATCATATTGATCATTTCTTGACTGTCGACTACCAGGGGAAAGTGGTGGAGGCGGAGTTAGGGGAAGTGGGGGTGGTGGAAGGCTTCCCTCACTCTGCCATGTAGTCAAAGCATATTGATCATTTCCTGATTGTTGACTACCAGGGGGAAGAATCGGGGGTGGTGGAAGGCTTCCCTCACTCTGCCATGTAGTCAAAGCATATTGATCATTTCCTGATTGTCGACTACCAGGGGGAAAAAGTGGGGGTGGTGGAAGGCTTCCCTCACTCTGCCATGTAGTCAAATCATATTGATCATTTCCTGATTGTCGACTACCAGGGGGAAGTGGTGTAGGCGGAGTATAGGGAAAAGGGGGTGGTGGAAGGCTTCCCTCACTCTGCCATGCATTCAAATCATATTGATCACTTCCTGATTGTCGACTACCAGGAGGAAACATCAAGTCTGATGGATCTCTCGTTGAAATCTGTGATATTCTTCTACCATGCTGATCACCTCCCAATTGTTGAGATGAATGTTTTGCCTCAATCTGTAATCTAGCATTACGATTATTCACTGACTGGTGACTACTTGGATGAAATGCTGACATATCCCAAGTTTTAGGTGGTATAGGAGGCGTGGGAGGCGGGGGAGGTGGTGGAGCTGGTGGAGGTTTAGGTCTTTCACCACTCTGCCTTGCAACAGTAGCATACAGATTCCTAGCTGATTGTTGGCTACTGGAAGATGACTTGAATTGTTTTCTGTATAACTGAGCTGCTGAATCTAACATTTCCTGACTAGGAATTGAATATGGTGGACGACCTGACACCATCTCAGATGACTGGTAAGTTTTTGATCTGTAAGAATGATATGGCATACTTTTGGACCGTGTGGGTCCAGATGAAGTTTCGGGATGATACTCATTCGTTAATGGTTGGTTTGGAGCTGAATGATGTTTTCTTATCATTTGTGATGATCTCGGAAAAGCCTCGGCTGAATGAATATCAGGAGTTGACCAACGGACAGAACCTTTTGACTCTTTTGACTGTGCTCTGAAATTAAAAAAAATAAAATGAATTCACAGTTGATACTTAGCTCTTCCTTTATTTGCAAAAGATTGGCTAACCAACAAGATGACAACTCTTCTATCATGCAACTTTGAACTAGACTGATTACCAGGCTTGTACTAACATGAGCAACACGACAGAATGCCACATGTGGAGCAGGATCTGCTTAACCTTCTGGAGCACCTGAGATCACCCCTAGTTTTTGGTGGGGTTCGTGTTGCTTAGTCTTTAGTTTTCTATGCTGTGTTTTGTGTACTATTGATTGTCTGTTGGTCTTTTTCTTTTTTAGCCATGGCCTTGTCAGTTTATTTTCGACTTATGAGTTTGAATGTCCCTTTGATATATTTTGCCTTGAACAAAGGTTATTGGAACTCAATTGTCATTACCATGATTACTGGCCATATGGTTACCTATAGTTACTTACATCCACTTCATTTGAACTTTAGTGGATAGTTGTCTCATTGGCAATCATACCACATCTCCATTTTTTTATATAGGCTTGACCACGTTATATAGTAGTTATTGAATAATCAATTTGGTATATATTAGTAAATACTGAATAGCTTAGGTGACCCTTCTTCACCTGAATGACGTCAGAAGTTCAGGTTAACAGGTCACTGAGCTGTGCAGTATAATTAACATACAATTTTTTTATTGGTCAATAACTGTTTTTAAACACTTATGAGGTCATCAATTGGCATAAACATTTTAGAGATTTTTTTTGAAGCATTTACATAATTTTATAAGCACACAACATTGGCAGTCCACAGTGAGATAAAAAGTTAAAGAGAATTGAACTTGATAAAACATAAATTTACATAAAATGACCATATCAATAGATATATTTCATTATAAATGTGTTAACTCCCTTTCTTTTTTTTTACTTTTTGTAAGATATTTAAAATCCTCTTGTTTTTATCCATGTTGTGCCATTACAAACTTTGCCCACTTTCTCCCTACTTTTCATATGTTTCACAAGGCAAATGTTGAAATCAAAATAGCAATACCTAAACAGGTAAGTTTTGCAAAATAATCAAAGTCAATGCACCATGACTGAAGGTACAGGGCCAAAAAAATATACATGGGAATGAGATGTGCCAATCCTTATACAAATGCATACCAAATATCATAAGTGGTTCCCCTTAAACTGACCTTTAAATCACAAACTTTAACAAAACAAACAAACAAACAAACAAACAAATATTTTATTTGCCAATCACGGCACCCAAAATGAGTAGAATAATTACAATATAATTTTCAAACATAATAATTATAAAAGTAAATTAAAAATAGGTTAAACAAAGTACATAACATGATTCGTTTTGATTTAATTGATTAATATATTATATCTAAGTAACTGAAATAAGTAATTTGTAATAATAAGAATATATAATATGACCCATTATTTGTTATTCTGGACCCTTTATGGGACAGCACACCTTATTAATTAAATGTAAATAATAACCATGATCGTAAATGCATATATGATCATATATATCTATAACTCTATACAAAGTAATCAAATTGAATGTTGTATTCCTGTTTTTATTTAAAACCTCTAATAATTGACAAATTATAATCAAAATGTGTTTATCTTCATTTCCCATTAACCAAATAAAAAGAGATTTGTTGGCAAGTTTTGAAATATTTTTATTTCTACTAAATATGTTGCTAAGAAAGGGATTTCTAACATTAACCAAAGCTTTACATGTTAAAAGAAAATGAATCTCATCTTCTATTTCCTCATTACAGAGTTTGCATATTCTATTTTCTAGTTTTATATTAAAGTATCACCCTTTTTCTATTTCAAGTTTGTGAGCTCCAATTCTAAATCTTGTTAAAACACATCTTTGAAGATATGGTAATTTCAATAAGTATGGCTCAAAATTAAAGTTTGGTTTGAATAATCGATAAGTTCTAAGTTTATTTCCAGAGGTCTATTTTGTCTTTTATCATTGAATAACTCTTTCTTCCATATGTTACAATATTTTAAGGTAAATATAATTTCTTTTTCATCATATTCTTAATGATTGTTTTAGATGAGAGTACTCGATACTCTTGTAAATCAAACAATTTCAGGTTAGCATTAATACAACTAGTCCAAGAATTCTTCCCAGCTTTTGATAATGTATTTGAGAGAGAGTATGCATTTGTTAATAAGATATTGTTTGTTATATGAATTCTTTTCCAATATAAGATCATGATAGTTAAAATATCTAACATTGAGAGGGTGGACAGGGGGATATTCAATTCCCGCTTCCTGCCCCTGACTCCGGCTATCCTCCCCCTGGACTCCCGCTTCCCTCCTTTAACTTATCATTTCGTTCAGATATGCCTCTTTTCCCCCTTCATACAAGAAAATCTAGAACTGTGAACATACCTCCGTTTCTCCAACCAGTCCTTGCTGGTGAAGGGGTTGATCTCAATGATCCTCAATGAACATGAACATCGTCACATGCACACAAGTAACCGAGCGAGTATCTAGCATACCATACCGGAGGAGTGACAATGACAAGATGCACAGGGATATAAAAAAAATCTAAGTTGAAGGGTTATAACTTTGGGAAAACTCGATGGATTGGGTCTTTCTATCGAAAAAATCTACTAATTTTCAATTGTATCCAAAATACCCTGTCATTGGAGTTGTGATGTCAACATAGATCAAGATGCATACTGGATAAGCTCAAAATTATTGTCCAAATGGGTATAACTCAGGGAAAACTACATCCAGGCACATCATGAAGTTCTAACAACCTACTGGATTTTATGTGTACCCAGAAAGCCATGTCAGAGGAGTTGCCATCACAAGGTGCATACTTGATAGGGTCAAACTTTCAAAGTTCAAATGTCCATAAACATGGGAAAACTAATTGAACCAGAACATCTTATCTATACTGAAGTTTGCATGTCATGGTCAACAGAAACATATAATGCAAGATATTGGAAAGTCCACTATACTGCTTGTTTTTTCACAATAAACAAGATACGATCCCCTCCTTACCTTTGAAACTTCTTTTTATCATGTAATATATTTCTGAACCAATAAATTTTAAGTGAATAATTTTTCTTAACTATTTCCTGATATAGTTAAAAAAATTTGAAAAAAAAATATTGAAAAACAAAAAAGATATTAGGGGGAAAATGGAAACTTGATATGAAAATATAGAAATTTTAAAACTACGAACTTGTTTGCTTTTGAAACTCCTTTTTTTATTTCTGTGAGCACAACTTTCTGGTTTTAAAAACTTATAAATCTGATAATTTGTTGATAGAGTTTAGAATATTTCATTTTGATCATTTCTTATGTTTTCAAAATATTAGCGATTTAATTTAGAAAATAAAATAAAATTTTCTAAACGCTCGATTTACAGATGACATAACAGAATACACAAATACACAGATGAAAAGACTTGCCGTAAAGTTTGGAAAGTGCCAACCAAATATTTAGCTAATTAATAGGCTGACTGTTCGGGCAGATTTTTTGAGGTATCAACTTATTATCAAATGAAAATTTTTATATTTTCTTATAGTTTATTGTTCAAACTTTACAATTAACACCAATAAAAAATAAAGATAAAAGTTTAAAATCTAAACGTAATAATCTACTGTACTGACAGATTTATATATAAATACATAGATTGATTTTCATATTTCCGAATGTAGAACTGAAAATAACAATTTCATTCCAGACAATTATTTTTAAGAAGATTTTGAACTTTGTATTTCGATTTGAAACAAATTTCTTCACAAGTTAAGACATAATAAGCTACTGTCCTGGCAGATTTGTTTTTACTTTAAAAGTGAAAAGTATTCAATTTCTTGATTTTTTTTTTATGATTGTGTCTGTAATTTATTATAATATCAAAATAGTATATACCAGACAATCGTATTAAAGAAACTATTTCATTTATAGTTAAAAATTGCATTGTTTATTTTTGCCATTTATACAGAAATTTTACGTAATAGGCTACTTATCCTAGCAGACTTTTTTTGTGTTAACGAAATGAAAGTCCATAAAATTTTATTTTTTCATAAAGCTTATATGTTAAACTTTCCAATGAACAAAAATTTGCTTACCAGACATTCATTTTGAAGAAGATATTCAACTTTATATTTTGATTTTGAGCAAATTTCAACAAAATTTCTACAATGTAATGTAATATGCTACTGTCCTGGCAGATTTTTTTACCTTTAAAAGATGAAAAAAATATCAAATTATAATTTTTTCAAATGATTATTCCCTTAACTTCATAATAGTACAAAAATTTTATGCCAGACAGTTGTTTTGGAGAAATTATTTCAATTGTAAGTAAACTTTTCTCAGCATTTTCCACCATATTTTTCTTAAAGTTTAACTGTCCTGGCATATTTTTTATTTACTTACAAATTTTTTATTTTAAAAACTTTACAAATAATGTAAGTAATTATCCTGTTCTTTATCATACGTTTTAAATTTTAACCATATGTTGAGTAAAACGAAAGTTACAGATGAAAACGTATCGAAAATAACTGTCCTGGTTTTTAGACCTGTCCGTTGGATACAGATATAATATGATACGGAAAGTCCGGAAACGATCTTTTTCGCATGCAATCTTCTGCAAAAATCTCCAAACCCAATAAGATGGTCATAAAGAATAACAACACCTTTTATCGTGTAAGATTTTTGTTTAATACAGCACTGAATCGGTTTCCCTGTTTCCTCGAATTCTTCATGTTCCCGCCCCGCTCGCTCCCGGTTCCCCTCCCCCTTATTCCCCGTTCCCGTCCCCTTACTCCCGGGTTCCCGCCCCCTGTCCATCTCCTCAACATTAGAGGATAACGGCCTAATTCACCGAATATGGCCAAATTTGTTGCGTGCTTATTCACTCCTAATATAAATATGCAGAATTTTAGGTGCACTTTCTCGTTTTTTAGATCTTCACAAAGTCTATAGAAATAATTTAGTTATGTGATATTCTTTAACTTCTTTGAATTAAAAAAAACCCATATTTCTGAACCATATAATAATACGCGTTTCATTGTGTGATAAAAAATGTGAGAGTGGAGATATTAGGTTTATAATTAGTAAAATATTTAGTATAATTAAAGAAAGCTTTTAAAGCTTCTGAAAAGCTGCCAGATGCACTAAAAGTTACGCCAAGATAAGTATAATGTTGGGTATTTTGCATGTATGTATCTTTATATGAAAGCTGTACATGTTTAATACGGCAAGATGTATTACAAACTATAGATTTCGTTTCTTTTTAAATTAACTTCTAAACCCCAATTTTCACATTAGAATTCCAGCTTATTTATGCAGTCAGACTGAGTGTAAGCCTTTTTTAGATTCAGAAAGCAGTACAAGATCATCAGCATGAAGAAGACAATTTAATGAAATATTTGATAGCCATACTGGGTCACAGGTTTCACCTAATAAATATTTAAAATCATTTATAAACAATCTCCATGGAATGAGATGTGCCAATGCTAATACAACTGCATACCAAATACCATTGACTTATTATAAGTTGTTCCCTTTAAACAAACCTAAACACAAACATTAACTTGTAAACTATGAAAAAGTTTCAAAGTCAATGAACCATGATCAGGGGTGGGGCTATATAATCTCCATGGAAACGATACTTGCAAATGCCAATACATTTGCATACCAAATATTATTGACTTAACATTAGCAGTTCATCTTAAACTGATCTAATCACTAACTAATACATGTAAACTAAGCAAAAGTTTCAAAGTCAATAGACCATGACTGAGGGGGCGGGGCCAAATATTCTCCATGGAAATTAGATGTGCTAATGCTTATACAACTGAACACCAATTAACATTGGCCTACCACTAATGGTTCCCCTTGAACTGACCTAATCTCAAACTAATACATGTTAACTTAGCAAAATTTTCAAAGTCTATAGACCATGACTAAGGGGGCGGAGCCAAATAATCTCCATGGAAATGAGATATGCCAATGCTTATACAACTGCATACCAAATATCATTAACCTACCACTATTGGTTCCCCCTAAATTGACCTAATCACAAACTAATACATGTAAACTGTGAAAAGTTTCAAAGTCAATAGACCTTGACTGAGGGGGCGGGGCCAAATAATCTCCAAGGTAATGAGATGTGCCAATGCTAATACAACTGCATACCAAATATCATTGACCTACCACTAGTGGTTCACCATGAACTATAGACCTGATCACAAACTAATACATTGTTGACGGCGCCGCCGCCAGAAACAGCATACCTATGTCTTGCTATTTGACTCCGTCAAGGCGAGACAAAAATGGGTTCCTACTCCAATGTTTATAGAACAGTCCTGTATGATTAACAGTATCAAAAGCTCTTGTAAAGTCAACAAAACATGTATGATTATAATGATTTAGAGCCTTTTTCTGTGTGTTTGTCTATTAGAGTTTTCAAGACAAAAAAATGATCACTTTTCATTTTACCTTTAGAGAAACCAATTTGTTCTTGGGATATAATGCTGTGTTTTTCTAAATATTTTTCAAGTCTGTTATTTAATATTCTAGTAAACAACTTATCAATATTACTACTTATAGCAATTCCCCTGTAATTACTAGGTTCTTTGGTGGTCCTTAACTTACGTATAGGAGTTAAAAAACTTTTACATGTAAACTAAGCAAAAGTATCAAACTCATAGACCATGACTATAGGGACGAGACCAAATAATCTCCATGGAAATGAGATATTCCAATGCTTAAATACAACTGCATATCAAATGTCATTGACCTACCACTATATAGTGATCCCCCATAAACTGACCTGATCACAGACTAATACATGCAAATTAAGGAACAGTTTCAAATTCAATAGACCATGACTGTGGGTGATGGGCCAAATAATCTCCATGGAAATAAGATGTGCCAATGCGTATAAAACTGCATACCAAATATCATTGACCTACCACTAGTGGTTCCCCATAAACTGACCTAATCACAAAAATACACTGTTGACGCTTGACAGAGCCTCACATTCATCTGTCTAAACCTTGTACTGTGGATTTATTTGTTTTATGGGTACTAATTATTGTGGATTGAGAAATTCTTGTATTTTTGTAGGCATTTGAATTTGTGGTTTTACTAAATATTTGCAATTCGTTGATTATTTAAATTCGTGGTTCACCTGTATCAATGAAAATTGGTATCCCACGAATAATAATGATCTAATCCACAGTATAAATAAATTTAATATTTTGTGACACTGTTTGGTTATTCTATTTGTGTTACACTTACTCTGCTGGTTTCTCAAAGATTGGTTTGCCCTCTGCTCTCAATTTATCTTTTTTATCTTGCCACTCGCTGATTTTTTCATCCCACTTTCTCTGAAATTCATTTCCTTGAAACTTTGACATAAAATCTTCCCTGTCAGGTCTACAAAACAAATATATATTAAAAATTAATGTCACAGAAAAATTTGATATGTGGAATTTGTTGATCAGCTAAACCCTATCTATCCACTTAATCACTTTTACCAGCTAAATCATATCAATCACCTAAATCATAAATATCAGCTAAATCATATCAAATTCATTTAATCTACATTTAAGAAATGATCATGAGGGGTTTATTTTCAGTCATTTCACAAGGGCACCATGCCCACTTGTAAAATTATTTGATATTCAGACTATAGCTATGAAATGGGAGGGGATCAAGTTCTTTTTATTTAGGCATATGGTCCGTGGGACACGGTTATTGTCCTTTGATTTTCTTTGTCTACAGTCCCTAATGTTTTACATGTAAACTATATAAGCAAAAGTTTCAAAGTCATAGACCATGACTATAGGGACAGGACCAAATAATCTCCATGGAAATGAGATATTCCAATGCTTAAATACAACTGCATATCAAATGTCATTGACCTACCACTAGTGATCCCCCATAAACTGACCTGATCACAGACTAATACATGCAAATTAAGGAACAGTTTCAAATTCAATAGACCATGACTGTGGGGGAGGGGCCAAATAATCTCCATGGAAATAAAATGTGCCAATGCTTATAAAACTGCATATCAAATATCATTGACCTACCACTAGTGGTTCCCCATAAACTGACCTAATCACAAAAAAATACATTGTTGACGCTTGGCAGAGCCTCACATTCATCTGTCTAAACCTTGTACTGTGGATTTATTTGTTTTTGTGGGTACTAATTATTGTGGATTGAGAAATTCTTGTATTTTTGTAGGCATTTGATTTTGTGGTTTTACTAAAGTCTACATACTATCCAATAGATATTTGCAATTTGTTGAACATTTAAATTCGTGGTTCAGCTGTATCAACGAAATCCACGAAAATTGGTATCCCACGAATAATAATGATCTAATCCACAGTATAAATAAATTTGATATTTTGTGACACTATTTGATTATTCTATTTGTGTTACACTTACTCTGCTGGTTTCTCAAAGATTGGTTTGCCCTCTGCTCTCAATTTATCTTTTTTATCTTTCCACTCGTTAATTTTTTCATCCCACTTTCTCTGAAATTCATTTCCTTGAAACTTTGACATAAAATCTTCCCCGTCAGGTCTACAAATCAAATATATATTAAAAATTAATGTCACAGAAAAATTTGATATGTGGAATTTGTTGATCAGCTAAATCCTATCTATCCACTTAATCACTTTTACCAGCTAAATCATATCAATCACCTAAATCATAAATATCAGCTAAATCATATCAAATTCATTTAATCTACATTAGAAATGATCATGAGGGGTTTATTTTCAGTCATTTCACAAGGACACCATGCCCACTTGCAAAATTATTTGATATTCAGACTATAGCTATGAAATGGAAGGGGATCAAGTTCTTTTTATTTAGACATATGGTCCGAGGGACACAGTTATTGTCCTTTGATTTTTCGTTGTCTACAGTCCCTAATATGGACAGTGTATAACTTCCAAATTTTTTTCATACACCTTCCAAATTTATTTTTTTATCTCTTATGCATAAAATAGTAAGTAGGGGATGAAATTACATGTAAACATTTAGTATTTCTGAAGCTGTCAAACTGAATTACAGACCCCCTTAACATTAAATTATCCATAGTTTGAGTTAGAGCCAAAAGACTTTTCTATATTTTTGATAGAGTTTGTCCCAAAAGTAGTATACTACACTGTAAAAATCTTTTCTGGATAGAGTAGGTGAAATTTTTTTAATTTACGTTTTTTCACTAAAAGAAATGCACTACGAAATAAATAACTGTGTTCTTGGGCCTATAATTAAGCATTTTTAAGCCATTTCTGTTTCTATGCCTGAGGAGCTAGATGTCTTTCTATCTGACAGGTTTTCATGTTTTGATATTTGTGTTTCTATGCTTGTTTCATGTTTCTATAATCATATGTGTACCCTGAATCTAGAACAAAAGTAGATTATCACAGAAAAATGTGCAAAATGTGTTGTATTTATGCATGGTTCTGGTCTAACGGCCTGTTTGAAGGAAGTTAAATGTAAGGAGCTATGTACATTATAAAGAGTTCACTAAATCTATATAAAAAGCACTTCACAACGATATGTTGTACCTGTTCCCTTCTATATGACACCTTTTGTTCTTCTGTAGGATAGTAAGTGGTTCAAATATATGCCTATTGAGACTAAAATTACACGCAAGTTTTCCACTGAAAAGTGAGAAACTTTGCATCAATCAGACTATACTGTCTGCACAAAAAGTTGAATGCAAGAGTCCTCAGAGTCCTGTAGCACTCAAATTTCTTGTATCATGTCATCTTAGCAAAGAAATGCCAAAAAGAAACAAATTTCTATTTCCTATAGCTTCTATATGCATTTTTATATGTAATTTATGTGTAATGGCCTAAATTATCCCTAAATTACTTTTAGTCTTACATGGCCTAGGGACATTTTATACTCATGTGGTACGCTATTTGTAACTTTTCTTATCATTTAAAGTACATTTTAAAAATATATATGAAAGAATTATTTATAGCAAAATTACTTCACAAATTTTAATTTGGTGGACAAAATTACAATTTTATATAAGCCTCTCTAGAATCATTGGAAAATCTCTATTTTTGGGCACATGCTCATATAAATTTGATGTTTGAAGAATTGTTATAAATCTGATACATCAAATGAGTGTTCAGCTGCTTTAAATACATGCTACATTATATATCAAGGCATTTAAAAAGTATTTTTTTGCAATATCTAAATTTTGTAGGCCCTAATTTTGATATTTGAAATTGTTTGATTTAAATGTAAAAAATAACCACCCAAAGTTCAAATATAAGAATGACCATTTGGTCTTTGATATAAATTCTATTGCCATGATACTTGGTATAAGCTGTCTTATAATTCCCTAATCTTTAGTTAGTTCATGCCAAGTTTAAATAAAATTTGTCAAGACTCTTCCTATCCTATTAGGTCCAGGGACACAGTTCTGGTTCTTTGATTTTTGTTGTCTACAAATAGAGTCCCTAGTGTGGACAGTGTATTACTTGCAAATTATTTTCATACACCTTCCAAATTAATGTCTTTATATTTTATGCATAAAATAGTAAGTTTGAGGATCCGATGAAATTTGGGGCATGAATTTTCATCCATGTCCAGTGCACAATGTTAAAACAATATTGTCAACGTCGCGATATTTACAATGTTAACACGATATCGTGTCAACATCGTTTACATTGTATGAACTATTATATACTGTTTACATCATTGACATCGTTAACATCGCGATGTATACAATGTTGTAAAAATATCGTGTTTACATCGTTTACATCGCGTTATCAACAATGTCAACACTATATTGTGTCAACATCGTTTACATTGTAATAACTGTTGTATACTGTTTACATCGTTTAAATCGTATACATCGCGACGAATATGATGTAGTGTTTACATCGTTTACATTGCGATATTAACAAGATATATTGTCAACATCGTTTACATTGGAACAACTCTTAAATACTATTAACATCGTTGACATTGTTAAAATAGCGATGTATACAATTTATTATCAATATCGTGTTTACATCGTTTACATTGTAATGTGCACGATATGGTGTCATATGATTTATAATGTTTGAAATGTAATAAAATATTTACATCGTTTACATCAAGATATTACAATTTATTAACGATATTTTATGGATTACAAATGTGTCAATTTTTGTAATTGGATAACAACGTGGAGATGTCAGTATATATTCAGGAAACTGCCAGGGTATATACTACATTTTTTACCCTAATTGTAGACTGATAAATATGTCTCAAATCATAAATATGTCTCAAATCTAGTCGATATAGCGTAGGTATCAAGCCAGAGGACAACACTCGTCAGTCTACCCTAATTGGAACATCAACAACATCATCATAGCAAACGTTACTAATTGACGTAGTCTTATTGCGAACCCAATGAAAGTTTTCCACAGTGCCATCTCTATCTTGACCAGGTATTTAAACTTTTGCAAGTTCACCTGTCCTATTGAATAAATACAATAGCTATTATTGTTCTCTGTGTAGTTTATTCTCTGGGACCTTTAAATTTCTTCTATGAGAAATCTATCACTCATTGATTAAATTACCTGAGTAAAAAAAAATTCTTATATATAGACAAAAATACTTTTTTTATACTCATTAATTGTGTGTGATGGTGTATTTATTCAATATTAATAATATATTTTCATTCAGTTTAATATAAACTTTGATTCAATCATAAAAAGTTGATTTCTAACAAAAGTTTTATCAATGTTCCTATTGAAATTTGATTTTTTTTTGTTTAGTTATAGAATACATTTAAGAAGATCTTAATTTGAAACATCATTATTTTCAAGTTCTTATTCATGTCAAACATTTTTTTTTTAAAAAGGAACACTGTTGAAAGTTTTGTCAGAAATCAACTTTTTATGATTGAATCAATGTTTATATTATTGCGAACCCTATGAAAGTTTTCCACAGTGCCATCTCTATCTTGACCAGGTATTTAAACTTTTGCAAGTTCACCTGTCCTATTGAAAGAATACAATAGCTATTTTTCTCTGTCACGGCTGGTAATCTACACACGCAGAATCTAAAAAAAAATAATCTAAAAACTGCCAATTTTCATTATTTCATGCGTGAGGGGATCTGTTCTGATTGAGGACATCGTGAATGCGTGAGGGGAAGTGCAAACATATCTTTATATCGAAAAATGCAACAATCACTTCAACGACAAAATTATTTTATATCTCTTACTGTGTGACGTTTACATTCTGCCGTCAAACACGCGACTCTACACTAGAGTTGATGTGAACCTTGCCATTCAGTCACAGGCCTTCAAATATTTCAATCCTTTATTGGTTGATTTAAAATACATATATAAGTAAGCAATGAATGTGGTTGTTAAATTTGATAGATACTTTTTTATGCTTCTT